TGTAATAGTAAGAGATTAATATCCAGAATACTCATATATAGAGAACTCCTAAAGTGCAACAACAAAAAAACAACCCAATTAAAAACCTGGGAAAAAAATGTTGAATAAACATTTCTCCAAAGAAGATATACAAATAGTCAAAAAGCACATGAAAAGATGTTCAACATCACTGATCATTAGAATAATGCAAATCAAAACTACAATGAGACACCACCTCACATCCAGTACGATGGCCACTGTCAACGAAACAGAAAATAACAAGTTTTGGCAAGGATATAGAGAAATCGGAACTCTTTGTACACTGTTGGTGGGAATGAAAAATGGTAGAGACACTATGGAAAACAGTATGGCTGTTTCTCAAAAAATTACAAATTGAATTACATGATCCAGCAATTCTACTTCTGGGTATATACCCAAAATAATTGAGAGCAGGATCTCAAAGAGATATTTGTATAACCATGTTCATAGCAGCATAATCCCATAGCTAAAAGCATGGAAGCAACCCAAGGGTCCACCAACAAATGAATGGATGAGCAAAATTTGGTATATACATACAATGAAATATTACTCAGCCTTAAAAAGAAAGAAAATTCTGACTTATGTTACAACTTGGATGAACCTTGAGGACATTACACGTGAAATAAGCCAGTCACAAAAAGACAAATACTGTATGATTCCATTTATATAAAATATAGTAGTCAAAATCAGAGGCAGAAAATAAAAGCGTGGTTGCTGGGGGGAGAGTGGGGGGAAATGGGGAGTTATTGTTCAATGAGTTATAGCGTTTCAGTTTTGCAAGATGAAAAGAGTTCTGAAGACGGATGGTGGTGATGGTTGCACAACATTTGGAATGTATTTAGTACCACTGAACTGTACACTTAAAAGCAAAGGTGGTAAATTTTGTTTTTTGTATTGTACCACAATTTTTAAAAACTGAAAAAAAAAGATGGTATCAAATCTTTAAAGTCTATGTTACATACACACTCATATACTTTAATGATATATTTTAATAAAAGTAATACAAGACATAGAAAAGTCAGGGGAAAAAAATCATACTTTTGGAATAGGTCTTAGAGGAACAGGTTTTGACATCCTACCATTGTCTTAAAGACAAAATTTCTTTATTTTTTTTTAGAAAAGATGACCGGTAAGGGGATCTTAACCCTTGGCTTGGTGGTGTCAGCACCATGCTCAGCCATCCCTATATAGGATCTGAACCCGTGGCAGGTGGCTACCATATTAAACAGCGTAGATCTAGAATGCTATGACCTGGCTTAAGGGCATCATTAGCAAGGGAGGGTTTGAGCTGGATTTGAAGAATGAACAGAAATGACTGAATTTAGGAGACGTTTTTAAGGCCCTTAAAGACAAAATTTCTTAAAACTGTTCAGTTCAAGTCACATTGTTTCATGCAAGTATTTTATCAGAAAATTAGGGTCACTGTAACTGGAAAGTATAATTTTTGCTATGTTAGAGCCAGAAAATGCACACAATATAAATTGCTGCTTGGGGTTAAGTGGTTATGGATGTTCATTCATATGATACCTTGTGTTTACTCTGGAGCAAGAGGTTGAAAGGGATTGTCAAATGGCTCTCCCTAAAGGAACTCAAAGCCTGTTACAAAGATGGGTGGGTAAACACACTACTCCATATGACATAAGAACAGTAGTATAATAGGTGTGCAGAGGTGCTACAGGAATGCACAGGAGGGGCGCCTAACCTTACCCAGGGAAAGGTGTGTCTGAGCTGAGGTTCCAGTCAGCTCAGGAAGCAGCTGAGAAAGGGGACTTCCAGACAGAGGGAACTCAAACATCCCCGACCACAAACATTCCAACCTGATTCAGCAAGTGGCTTGGCTTTCCCTGGTGGCCCAGGAGCATCTTGTCTGAGTTTGGGTGACCTGAGTCAGGTTTTGCTGGGTCTCTTCATCCTGATGATCTAACCACAGAGCTCTTGGGATCTGGAGTCAACAGAGACCAGGCCCTGATTCCTCCCCATTTTCTCCCCATCAAGGTAGAACACCAAGAAACCTGGTCTCCATATGCAGCTTTTTTCTTATAAACTTCCCCCATTTCTTACTGTTCAGGTGGCTCCAACTTTAAGAATGGCAAACACCTTTTTTATTTCCTAAAAATGCAGTACATGTGGAATGAAGAAAAGGTGAAGGAGGATGCATAGTATTTACACAGATATAACTACTAACAATCCTATAGATGCTAACAATTCCAAGGGGGAGTATCCATCTCTGCTCCCCTTCCCATCCCACTTCAGGTGGAGCCAGTTCAAGTATTTGTTAACTACACTCAATGGGAAGGCCCAATTCATCAAAACACCTCTTCAAAGGAGCTCCAACTTTCAAACTCTATGTCCTATGATTCATCATTCATAGCAATCTTTAAATCTAAGAAGTCATGCTAATTCCCTGTCCAAAATCATCAGCTTGAGCTATACTGGCCTCTTTGCTGCTCCTGGAATATACCAGATACACATCCTGTCATTAGGCTGTTCCCTGTACCCAGAGCACTCTTCCCCCAGACATCTTCATCCCTGCCACATGCTCCCTATTGTCCCTACTCAATCCCCCTTACCTTTTTTTTCTCTTAAGGTACTATCACCTTCTGCAATAAATATAAGTATAATTTACTTATTTACTGAATTCTTATGTCTTCCCTTTCAAGAATATAAGCTCCAAGAGAGCAGAGTCTTTCATAAATTTTGTTCAGTAAAGTATCCCAACTGCCTAGAAAATTGTCTGATATATTATAGGGGCTCAATGACTATCTGTTGAATGAATAGATGCTTGGATGGATGGATGGATGGATGGATGGATGGATGGATGGATGGATGGACGGATGAATGAATGAATGGGTTACAAGGCCAAGAAGAAAGAAATTCAAACTCCTTTCTATTCTCTCACATGGGATAATGGTTTCATGAATCTGTCCCCTCACCTCCCAACTCCCCTGACCCACAAAGTCAATCAGCTCTACTCCTACCCCCTTCATATTCACCTGCTCAGACTCTGCTCCTATTCAGAGGTGACATCTCCACTGACTCTGCTGTGGCTTGTATGTGGTTTGTCCCTGCCAAAAGTCATGTTGAAATTTAATTGCCAATGTAGTAATACAGGGAGGTGATGTCTTCAGGAGGTGATTAAATTAAGATGGATTTCCCGAGAGAATGTGTTAGTTTTCCCAAGACTGGATTAGCTCCCCCAAGAGCAGGTTGTTATACAGCAAGTTGCCTCTTGTGTTCTGTCTCTTTTGCACATGTTCCCTTGCCCTTCCGCTTTCCCACCATCTTCTGATGCAACATGAAGCCCTCACCAGAAGCCCACAAGATGCTGGTGCCATGCTTCTTGGACTTCTCGGCCTCTAGAATTGTGGGCTGAGTAAACTTCTTTTTTTCATAAATTACCCAGTCTCAGGTATTCTGTTATAGTAACCCAAAACACACTAAGACATCCATCTTTCCACAGGCAGAATTTCCTGTCCCCTCTCTGAACTCACAGCAGACTTTGGACCTCTGCAACAACACACCACCACCTCTCTTGTGCTATGTCTGCAGGAGGCTGTCTACCCCCACTAAATTAACATTTCGGATAAGCAGTCACATGATTCAGTTACTCATCTTTGCATTCCCCTGAGGGCCATACATAGAGAAGGGGAACCACTGACAAAGGGAAATTTTCATCTAAAAAGCCCTGTTGTACGGCCAGTTTTTGTCATTCTTCCCTGGTCATCTGCAGACTGAGTTAGATAACCCAAGTGGACTATCAAGCCATTCCATGAGACATAAATGAGCCAGAGCATTTGGGGAACATAGCTTTAAAAGTGAAGTTTGAAGAAATCTCTAAAATCCACCACTCAGAACACATATCCACTTTCACCAAGAAAAAGGCAACCTCGTTTTGGGAAGGACCATCACCCCTGTTGAGGTCTTGAGTAATCCTAATTCTCACAGCCTGCTGAGAAAAGTTTGTATGTAAACGTAATGAGAGTGATTTGCTCTGGCTCTCAAACCAAGTAACTGTCTTGTGCAAATAACTGTCTTGTTACTTGTCTTACTCCTTAAAGTTCACCCCTGTAAAGCAGAAACCTATAACAAGAAGTAAAAAAACATAAAGGCTTTATGTGTTGTGTGTGCTTAATTTACTGTAAACTGTTTTTAAAGGACATTACAAGTTGGTATTTTTATCTGGATTGATCTTGATTGTTTCCTACAACTAGCAATTACAATCTGTAGTTTTCCCTTAATTCTATAGAAAGTGTGAATTAAAAGATCCAGATGCCATTTGGATCTTGTTATATTTTCACCAATGTGCTCTATGCTTCTAGAAAATGCTTCCTCTGCCACAAGAATAAATGGGTTTACAAATCAGCCTCATATTAATTAAAGTGAAAGCTGGACTTCTGGGGGTGTGCACTATTATACCTTTGTTTAAGCAGAAAAGGACAAGAAAAGCTCGGGGCGAATTAGCCCCGTGGGTTCTTTGGTGTTTGTTTTTTGCCTCCTTGCCCAGGAAAGCCCATTGCCAACCTCTTCCTGGGCATATTCTGATCAGGCTCCTTCGGCCACTTAACGCTCTCTGTGGCCTCTGGGTCAAAAGCTGTGGCTCCTCTCTCCTCACTCATTGACAGTCACTTCCTCCTCTACGGTCTTCTATCCTGTCACCCGCCCTCCCCATTCCTTACTAACAAGAATTCAAAGAATTGGCGTGCCAGTACGGACTCTCAACACTTGACACTTCCCAATACATTCAACCCTGATTCCTCTCACAAGATTGCAGCTCTCTGGTCTCCCGACAACCCCCCGGCCCCACTTTAAGAATCCCGCTCTCCCCAGCTCTGAACACCTTGGGGTTCGCATGGCTAAGAGGTTCCGAGGGATCGAGCCAAGAATGGTAGTCCCTACCGCAGAACAATGACCGTCCCAAACACACCCCAGGGGATGGGATGGATGGATCGGATGCCTAGGCCAGTTAGAAACGCGCTGCTCACCTGGGGCGCGGCCGCTGGAGGCCTCGGAGCCATTCCTGCCTGTCCTGGGCCGGGCTCCCGGACTGGGGCTGGGGAGATAGGAGAGGGCCTATTCACCCGGCTGCGACCGCCGACCCCACCCAGCCGCGCCCCGCCGGCCCCGCCTCCGTCCTCAGCCACTTCTCCCGCGGAGAGGTGGGGAGGAGCGGGGACCCCGCCCGGGCCTGCCGCTCCCCTTCTCCCAAATTAAAGGCTCGGCCGCCTGCCGAATAGCCCCCTCCGGCCACGCGCAGTCCCATTCGCAGGATGGTGGGCGAGGCCCGGCGGACACCAGCCAAACCCTTAAGAGGTGCCGCCCGGTCCCGCGCACTCGGAATCACCGCCTCCTGGGGGCTCCGGATGTCGCGACCTCGGGCCACCCAGGGCTCGGGCCGGTTCCTTCCGCCCCTGCTGCAGACAAGTTTCTCCCAGGTCCTGATTTGTGGAGGGGCTGACCAAAGCGGCCTCAGCCGCACCGCGGCGGGACAATGGCCGCAGCGGCGGGGCAGAGCCGGAAGTGCGCCTGCGCACGCGGAGCCTTGAGCCCTCAAGCCCGGGCCGCGGCGGGCACGCGAACTACGCTTCCCAGAGGCCCCCGCGCGCGGGCCCTTCGCAGGCCCCCTCGGAAGGCTGGTCCCTCTGCGAGAGCCGAGCAAGGCCGGCGGTGTGGCTTGAGTGTTCCTGCGTCCGGTTATTCCACAGATAGTTACAGAGCGCCTCCTCTGTGCAGGGGCAGCGGTGGATCCGACAGGAAAGACCCTGCTTTCGGGAAGCCAGCACAAGCTTCTGTGGACAAGTCAAACCATAAAAACGTAAACATAACAAGAAGATAATTCCAGGTCCTGACTTCAACTATAAGTATGAGACATTAAGGGAGAGAGGCAACGTTGATATGTGGGGAACGTTGGATCTTCATCAAGAGGCAATTTACGCGTCCTCTTTTATGCCATCTTCACCCATGGGTCTCTGCAACTGTGACTCTCCAGACTACAGCTACTAACTAGTGATACGCAGTGAAATTTCTAATGATACTACAGGAGAGAAAAAAGAAACTTCAGATAAATCCGTGGCCTCCTGAAAGCAAACTGTGCCACTACCATGTCATTTCATTACTTGGTATCCCATTGCTCAGGATTTTTTGCTTGGGGCAAACCATAAATGATGGGAAATTTCCACACGAAGATAGATGAACTTTTAGATACAACTATTAGATTTATGTAATGATGTCATATATCACAAATAATCAGTTTAAAGTTCCTACACTTAGACTTGACTTCTTAACATGAGAGCATCACATACTCACATGGTAGAAAATGACTGCAACTAAATGTTCCTGGTGTTACATTGCTTTATCAAGAAGATGGATGTTAACAGATTAATGTTTTGTACCACTGCTGCCCGTATATAGTGCTCTGGAATTAGGAGACAGCGTAATTCAGAAATATGAATTACAGTGGCCTGGGGAGGCCTCTTTGAAGCAGCGAGTAAGTAGCTGTGACTTAAGGGGGCAACCACAGGAAAATGAGGGAGAAAAGAAGTCCAGGTTGAAGGAACTGGGGATGCACAAGGCCTCGGGGGGAAACAAGCTTGATGCGTTTTAGAAACAGATGCCCAGTGTAGCTGTAGCGGAATGAGGAACAGGAGAGAGCAGAGTAGAGGCAGGAGAGGTAGGGGGGAGCTCGGTGGAGCAAGGTTTTGGAGATCATAAACAGCAGTGTGCATTTTACTTTGAGTGTGATGGGAGCCACTGATTTAGCAACAGCAGTGGAGCTGCTTATTATTACTATGAGAGGATAAAAGGAACTTTTCCTGTTGTCCCAGAATTGGTAACCAGAACTCAGAGTTGAGGATTAAGTTCTTCTGCATTCTAACGAGAAATGAAAATATTTGGAGCTAGAAACCCTTAGGTCTTATAAAGGAGGACTGGGTGTTGAATTTGCCCCGCTACTATTAACCGTTGCCTCAAGGTCACCCCTCTTTCTCAGGCCACACATGGAGACTAGGATGGAAAAGAAAAGGAAGAATTCCTCATATTACTGATCCAGGCTCTTGGGTCCCAAAGTCATAGAAATGAATAATGCACCCAGCAGTAAAGCAAACAACACTTTTATTAAAAGAGGAGATAGACTTACACATAATGAGGGGGTAGCTACAGGAAAGTTATCCACCTAAGGGGAGCTGTTCTTTATAGGGAAAGGGATTAAGGGGTACAGGCCAGTGTCATTATTTTATGCCTCTGAAGGTGGTCCATTCTTTTCTTCCTGGTTGCATCATGGGCACATATTCAGTTGGGGTTTTGGTCCTTGCACCTGCTCGGTAGGTCCAAGATGGTGGTGGTGTTCATTATCGTCACCTCAGGAGGGTCATTGTACTGGTCACCTGGAAGCTTTGTGCACATGTGGGAATTCCTAAAGGGTTCTTAAGGTTAATTTGTAACTTAATTTTTACAATTACAGGAAAGGAGTCTCGGGGAAGGGATTTTGCAACTCAGTGAATATCTGTTCCCTTCTTGAGTTTATTTTATCCGGTCGGTTACAGTTACAGTTACTTTTATCAGGGCCATGGGGAAATCATGTGCCCTGGGGATTTCATGACCGAGGAGTGGAAAAGTAACAAAATGTCCTCTGCAGGGAAAATGGAGTCAGTTTGGTTCACAGGCCTAACCCTATCCTGTCTTACTCAGAACAGGAAGCCCCCCACCTAGTGGGGGATGTGTTGTTCAACTCCCATCCCCAAGATGAATGTGAGGAAGAGAAGCATTCAAACATTGAGAGTACTCAGGAGAGGGGGAGGTTTTATAAACTACCCCAGTATCTCCCTGAGCAAGAGAAAGGGGAATTGGAGAGCAATCCTGATTGTAAGGGGAGCAGCCTAAATTTCCATTGTTTGTGCAGCAACTGGCTGCACTGGAAAATGATTGGGCTTTAGCCCCTGGGGGAGCGGGGATGTGCAGTTTACAACAGTAAGAGTCTGGGGGGCCAGCCCGGTGGTGCACTCGGTAGATGGGAGAGCGGCGGCGCTCCCACTGAGGGTTCGGATCCCATATGGAGACCGGTCCGCTCACTGGTTGAGCGCGGTGCGGGCGCGACACCGAGGGTTGCGGTCCCGTTGCTGGTCACGAAAAAAGACAAAAGAAGGAAAAAAAAAAAAAGAGTCTGGGGAATTAACTGGGTGTAAGAAGGAGCTGAAGAGATTGGAAGAGGTTGAAGGGCAGCCAGCTCTCCCAAGTCAGGCATCCATGGGTTTCTTCTAAGGAAGTCACAAATGCATGTCCATTACTGGCGGTGTGGTCCAGCAACTTTCATGCTGAGTAAAATATTTTTAAACATTTTTTAAATGCATTGAGGAACTGGAAAATTGGTAAGAAATACATAGAGGCCAAAAGCAAAACAAAATTGATAACTTAGGGTCATAGACAGAACACTGAAAGCCAGATTTCACCTGGAAGTCATTTGCCAAGTGAGACAAACTTGAGGTTTTTTTTTTTTTTTTTTTTTTTTCATGGTCCTATAAGCACAAGGGGCAGGTGATAAAACCCTCCCTCCCATTCAAAGTAGAATATCTAACAGGAGGCACTCTCCACCTCCCAATAAAAATTAGGACTCCATGGATGAACACCCTCCTGGTAGAGACTGCAAAGTAAATTGCCTGTTTCAAACTTTGGCAATGAGTGGAAAAAGGGGACTACATCTTCCCTGAGAATTTGTAACCACAAACTGGTGCCTATATGGATTCGCAACCTGATTTCACTGTCCCTGGGCAGTCTAAAAACTGCAAGCTGAGAATTTAGTTTAAATTTCTTCCAGGGTAACAGTACTTCCAGGCATCTGGCAGAAGCAAACATAAATCTTGACTGGAGGAAACTACTTTCAGCGCAAGCTTCAAAGGACTTCTCCAGATATAAATCCCACGAAATATGAGCTCAAAGTCGTGAATCACAAAACACATATAGAAAACAAGAAACCACAAATGACAGACAGTAGGGGGGAAAAAAGTGTAATCAGATTCATAACCTGAAATGTAGGTAGTTCTTGGGCACAGATTTATAATAATATGTCTGACATGTTTCAAAAATTATTTTAGTGAACTAAAGTAAGGGTTTAACATGAGTAAAGAACAAGAGTTTAAAGTATTATCAAACAGAACAGAGTAAGAATCAAATAGAACTTTTCCAAATGAAATACAATGATAATTAAAAAACTTATTGTACCGGGTTAATAGTAGATAAGACATAGCTGAAGAGAAAACCAGTGAACAGAAGATATATCTGAGGAAATTATCCACAAATAGACAAAGAGATGGAAAAATAATTTTTTAAAAGCAGGAAGCTATGACATGTCTAATCTGGGTTCCAGAAGAAGAAAAAAAGAGACTTGAGACAGTTTTCAAAAAGATAGAGGCTGAGAATTTCCAGAATTGATGAAAGATACAAATTTACAGAGTCTGGAATACCAACATCCCAAGATAAATAAAAATAAATTTACATCAGGACACATAGTGAAACTGCAGAACACCAAAGAAGATCTTAAAACTAGCTAGAGAGAAAAGAATTACCTTCAAAAGAACAAAATTAGAAGGTAGCAACAATGGAAGCCAGAAGGCTGTTGGAATAATATTTTAAAGAATGAGAACGAAATAAAGACATTTTTTAAAAAACAAAACAGAATGTCATCAACAGAGACTCATTAAAGTTGGATGTTCTTCAACAGAAGGAAAATGATTCCACATGGAAGGTTTTATATATATAGATGAGGAAACAGTAGACAAAGTGGTAAATATTTATAAATCTAAATTAAAATTGGCTATATGAAACAATCATGTCTTGTGGGTTTTTAAAAAAGGTACAGCTAAAATACAGGCAAACAGAAAAAAAAATCAGGGTGGGGCTGATCAGAGGTTAAGTGTTCTAAGGTGCTTGTATCATTTTGGAGGGTAAAGATAGAGACTTCTGTGGGCTGACGATACATTACAAAGACCCCTATTGCCCCTTGGTCTCTCACTTTTCCTGAGTCTGTCAGCCTCTCTTGGTTTCTATTCCTTCTTTTTGAAGACATTACAGCCAGTCTACTGAATTTCCTTCCTACCAATGCTTTTGATTCCTTTATCCCCACCTTTTGCTATAACTGACCTGCAAAATCCAACACCTAATCAGCTGAAAATTGCTGGAAAAAAAATAGCGCATTGATAGCTTTTATACCTCCAAACCTGCTTCTCCATTTCACTTCCAGTCTGGAGAAGATCCCCTTTTGCTGATTTGGAGCAAAGTGCTCCCTCTGGGGGATCCTTGTCCCCTATCCCTTCTTATCCGTTATCCCATCTTTCTTCTGCCTCTTCCACTTTGTTCTCTCTTTTGGCTTTTCCCATCTGACTTATAACCATGCTCAAATATCAGGAAGAAGAAGAAGGAGAG